AAGATCCAATGGGGTGGAATTCACCTCTTTCTCCTGTTCTTATTGGTTTTACTTTTCAAAATTTATTTTTGTTAAGTGGGAAATGGGGTGATGGGTCATAAGAGAGAAAATCACAAAAAAAAATATTGATCATCAATTTATATATATTTGATGCAACCATTGGGTTGCTCCATTGTAAGAGAAGTAGAAGCAATATGTTAATATATCTTTTTAAGGACTATACAACGGGGTAGTCCATCCCCCAACCCAGGTGTAGGCGGGATTCAATCCCAACTCTCCGTTATGACTAGCAAGAGACCTTATCAACCAACTGGTTGGCATATTGTAAGCTGGGTTTGACTATCACACCAAAAAAACATTATATCCAAACAAAACTTGTAACCAATCAACCAATATTATAGACATGTTAACCAATCAGATGGTATTTATCAAAATTCACTTGTGGGCTTTGATTGGTCAAAACTCTTTTGATACTATATCTTTCCTCCATCATAGATTTTTCCTACTTATTTATTTGTTATATTAACTATTACTTCTTTAATAAAAAAAGCCATTACTCAATGTTGATCCCAATTATCTGGGGTTTTAGGGAGGGGTGGACTGGATCTCTTAGACTCAAAGCTGCATTCTGACACTTGACAACTCAAGATTACTAATTTGTTTGTTTTTCTAAAAATAGACAGTTGGGTATTAAATCTTGGTAAGGAATCACCAAAAATAATGGCTTAAAGGCCACAATTGCTTAACAATGGTCATTACTGAATAGTTAACTGCATTATATTTCATATATTTTTGGAAGGCATGAAATATATATATATATATATTGCACTCAAATTAGAAAAACAAATGCTCACCACTTGAGAGAAAATTAGATTTGCTGCCAATATCCCTGGCTAACAACACCTTCCGGCAAGAGCATGATATTTCAGGAGAGGAAATTGTATTTTCTGATAAGACACAACATTTTCTAGTGAGAATATTGCTTTTTTTTTCTGTAATATCCCTGTTTCAAACAAAGGGAATAATAGAGGTGCTGTTCTATCAATATCATCTTACTCACCAGATTCTACTCATTCCCAGGAAGAATTGTATTTTACTTCAAAACAAATGGAACCTAAAGCTTTGATGCGTCAATTCTTTAGTGCCTTTTGGTGTAAGTACAATCCTTACATCACATGCATCTTTACTATTACATTTGGATGTAGACGAAGAACGGAAGAAGATTACTGAAACAACACTTTAATGAAATAAGTCCCCATTAATTTGGGAGTGATTATTCGATAAATAAGTGTTTATCGGATAAATATTTATTGTAATAAGTGTTCACTAGTGTTTGGTGAAAAAACGTTTATTTCAAATACCGGTAATATAGGTATCTTCAAAATGACGTGATCACTGGCCAAAATGAGCCAGAAAGTAAAATAAGCACTTAATTGAATAAGTGCTTAAAAATAAGCTCAGAATTTTAGCTTCTTGGAAACGGGGTTATTTTTAGGAATAAGCACTTATTTGGTTTTTTCCCAAATGCACATTAGTGGTTCCAGCCTAAAATAAGTGTTTATTTGAATAAACACTCCCAAACTGGGCTAAAAAAATCAAAAGGGGCAAAGATAAAAACTCTCTCTCTCTCTCTCTCTTATAAACACACAAAACTTAGTCTCCATTAAATTTGGGCTAGGGCTTGGGCTTTTGTTGGACCTATCATTTTAAACACTATGCTTGAGCCCTAAGTTCAGACCATGTGAGTAAATGGGCCAGGCCTAGTCTAGCAGTGGGCCAGGAATGGGCATTTTGTTTTGATCACTCCAGCCCAGTTGGGCAGGGTTGACCCCGGTCTGCCTGAGACCCACACTCCAAGTAGTCTCTTCCCTTCACTGAACAGCCAGGCATAATTCAACAAAACTGCTCAATTTATGCATTCTTTTAAGCACTTTCCAGGCCAAAAATGTTCATTCTAGATGCATATGGTTTAGGTGGTAAGATTAGGGTCGGTAGTCCTCAAGCCATACATCATTTACAAGATGATCTATCAATGGAGCTAGCTGCTGACTTTACTTTGTACAGACTATAGGGAACATGAGCTTCTGGTCATGCATATGCTTAGACAACCAGCAGCATTTATTGTCATTAATTCATATATCATAATGAGCCCCGGCTTTTGTTCCTGGGGGGATAGCTTCAGCTTTCAATTGGCATTTGATTAGTTTTCATGTTAAAGAATTTGAAGCCATTAATGACTACCATTACTTGGTAGCAAGTCCAACTGAAAATGCGGTATAGAGAGCTGGCCTTGTCTGTGGATGTGAACGTCTCAGAGATTTGAATTCATCAGATACATACTTGACGTGCTTGATGGAAGTAGGGATGGATAGTCAGTCAGTCTTCAAATCAAAACAGAGACAAAAAGATCATTTAAAACATGCTGAAAGATTTGGGTTTAGATAGACAGACCATTTAATGGGGGATCCCTACTGAGTCAAGATTTTCTGAATATGCGACACTGGCAAGTCATCAGGCCAGACGCACAGAAACGGGCGTCCATGGACCAACCCATCTAGGAATCTTAGACGTCAAGCATAATTCACTCTGCACCCAAATATTCAGGGATAAGCTTTGCTTCTGCAGATTTCAAATTACAGAGATAGGAAGAGTTTTATCCACACCAAAGCAAGGTTGAGGCTTCAGGCTAGAGACTAAATTGAAATTCACACCAAGGAATCTGACTGTTTGAAAATAAGTTTGCAGCTGAAATGGGTTTCTCATCCCTCTCCTAATCATCCATTGATGGAAAAAATTTTGGCCAAAAACATTGTGATGTGTCTGTGAAGTAAGTTGCTTCACAGATAAGCTAATGGTTGAGCCATTTGGTCCAATGACCCAGCGACCAGAAAGATCTCCCTGTTTTTATTTAAGCTAGGTGTAATTAATTCATCAGAAATACTGTGATTTTGGAGTTGCTAGCTAGCATTCCGTGTACCATTTTCAATATTGGGATGGATTCGGTTGTCTCTGACAGGTCGAAAGGATGCCCACAAGGCCACTCCCTCGTGTTCGACGTATTTCGTCACTCAGTCGACAGATCCTTGAAGGTGTTTGATGGATGCTCTCTCAATTATTTGACACAACAGGAAACCCTGACGATAAAAGCCAGCCAGCCAGCAGATGACCCTACCTCTGACAAGAATGGAGCTTTCCAAGAGAACCCCCTCGCCCACGTGCACTTCCCACACAAACATCACCCCCGTGTCCATGTCCCCAAACATCCAGCATGGCCAGAGCCTTGATTGAATGGGACGTCGGTTGGGAGGACTCGGCTGGACGGCTCTCAAATCCCCAATCTCACTCGTTGCTTATCCCTAAAGAAAGGCAGCAAGGATTTTACAGATAGATCTAGAGAGAGAGAGAGAGAGATGGGCCCAAGTGCACTTGACTTGAGACTCAGGAACTGGTCTAGTTGAGCACTTGGGTGCAGTAGAAAACCGAGTTGGATAATGAATGGTTAACAACCAAAGTACGCCCAGTTGGATCCAGATAGAATTTGTGAGTGATACAATTGCACTTGATAGTTTAAGGAGATAAGGAGGCAATCTACACTGGGTGGTCCTCCTTTCTTGATGCAAATTAATTAAAGGTGGGTAGTGGGTACCCACCAAATTCCTGGGTAACCATCATCAAAATCAGGGCACTGGGCTGTTCGAGCCCATAGGGCCCCCAAGGGGAACCGGGCATAGTGACAAGGAATGGGCGGTTGGGACATGTATGGGCTCACTGACATTGTCCAATGTCCATGGCAACAGCATATCCTAATGGATATGGACCCTGCAAGCTTTCAATCTAAATTAAACAAGTGAAGTGGATTTCATTTGCCGGGGCCCGGGGGGAGGGGGCAGTGCTGGTTGACTGTTGTTTGTTTGTTGGTGATATAATCAAATACGTGAGAGCAAAGTTATCAACAAATGACTCGATAGAAATGGGGTCACACCTGTTATGCTCTTGTTTGTTTCTTATGACTCCACTTAAATGCCCAAAGGAAATAATAGACTTTGCACCTAAATACGCGTCACCTCTTGCTCACAAACAAATAAGCCCAAACAAAGCAGTTACCGAATGTGTTACTTGTTTGCTTATAGATATGGTGTCCCCAGGGATCTTGTCTCTCTCTCTCTCTCTCTCTCTCTCTCTCTGGGCCTTTTTATTTAGAAGTCTAAACATAAAATATGACAAAAGAATCATTATCGTTATAATGACATTACAGGATGGTCATGGAAGTGTTATTAGACAGACCCAGATCAGACCAGTGAGCTCTCTGATTTTCTCATCTATTCTACATCAAGCAATCATGAAAATGGAACGTATTTCAGACATAAAGAGTGATAAAGATTGCTCAATTGATGGCCCATAATGTCTAGTTTTACCACTCAGTTGGCCATCATCATCTAAAATTCTTGGGCAAACTTTTTTCAACCATTTTCTGGTTTCTGGTAAATATGGTAAAGCAAATAATTTCAGAGATTATAGTCATAAATCACAATGTCTAGGCCCAAGGAAGAAAGGCAGACGCTATCCACAACGATCCAAATGCAAAAGAAGGGCACAGGTCCTAATTAGCTGAGATACTGATGACTCCTAAGTCCTAACTCCGAAGTGGATGGTCTAGTTAGAGTCTTATAAAATGGTGCTCATTCAGGTCCGTAGTTAGTAGGTTCAGTGACCAGAACAGAACAGAAAACTCCTTGAAGTCATTAAATCAGAGAGAGAGAGAGAGTATTTTATGTGATTGAACTGAAGACTAGAAAAGGACCTTGTCGGTTCCGAAAGCAATGAGCAAGGAGACAGCATCGCAGCGGGGTCGGCAAAAAGTCGAACAGCGACACGGACAGATGGGAAAGGGTGCGCACTGTGCATGACCGCACAGTCCGGGCTCTCTTAACCCTCTTGTCGGTATGTCCCAAACCCCTCCTCACGAAACTTCTCTCTCTCTCTCTCTCTCTCCTTATAAAATCCCAAGCAAAGAACTCTTTTTTCTTAAACCCGTCTCTCCTCTTTGTGCTGAACTTGTTATTATATTGCCTTATCATTGTTTGATATGGAGCTTCAGTTGGGTCTCGCCCTTTCATACAATCCCATCAACGAGTTCGGCTTCAAGAAATACGATTACCAGCCCAAGGAAGTTTTGGGTTCAGAGTTATGGAGCCACTCCAGCTGTTCGAGTTCGCCAAGGAACAAAAGCAACAAGCGTAGTTTCGATGAGGCCTTCGAGAAGCTCAAACCCGTAATTCGAACTCTACCTCTATTCTCGTGGAACGACAAGCCAAACGACGACGACGACGACCCTAATGGCCTCGATAAGAGCAGCTCCACATGCTCCTTGAACAAGTAAGCCTTCTTACACTTTTAATCATATTATATTATATTGCTTTGAGTTTTGGGACGATGGAGCGGGATTCTGATTGGTGATTGACGATAGGAGTGAAGAAGAGGAAGACTGTGTCGTGGGGTGGCCACCCATTAACTCTTGGAGGAAGAAGCTTCATTGTCAGCCTCAAGATGGTGAGGTTGAGAGTGATCAGATTCGGAGAGATGAGAATTCTTCCCGTGGACCCAAGTCCAAGTACGTCAAGATGAAGATGGAAGGCGTGGCCATAGGAAGAAAAGTCGATCTCAGCCTCCATAGCTCTTATGGGACTCTTACAAACACCTTGTTGAGCATGTTCGGGAAATGTAAGTGAAGCCATGGGCTGCAAATGTTTCTTTATTTCTGGCATAATTATAGTTCATGTTCTTCGCAAACAAGGTTTTTATTGGATAATTTGCTTCATCTTGGGGTTCTGTGTGGACACAGGCCAGAGAAGTCTGCCGGAATCCAAAGCAGGCACAGGACATGAACGTTACACACTCGTCTATCAAGACAGAGAAGGAGACTGGCTGCTTGTAGGAGATGTGCCATGGGAGTACGTACTAAAAGTCTTCCTTTTAACTACTCATTTCTCTTTAATAATTTACAGTTCTGTTCTTTGGTACATCTTCCACCTGGGTTTGACAGAACTAATCAGTCTGATCACATGGCCGTGTATATCTATTGTTTATCCAATTACCTGTTGACAGATTCTGGTTTTTGTTGATTTTTCAATTGAATCAGAAAGTTTTTGTTTTTTTATACCCCCAAACCAAAGATGAAACAACCCATTCAGTGGAAGATCCAATCACCAAACAGTTCCAGTTTGGTCGATCAGTGGAAGATCCAATCCACTGCTTAACCTTCTTGGGAGCTGCAATGGTGGAGACCCATTAGTTCCAGATGATTATCTGATAGTTTGATCATAACTGTCCAAGCTAACTGTATGTGTTCTAACGAGCAACAAATGGTTTTGTGGGTGCAGAAGTTTCATAGTGTCGGTGCAACGTCTGAAGCTGCTGAAGAATGGAGGTTAATTGGGTTGCCAGTCGCCAACTGTCTGAACCATTTCACTTAGGAAACCCTATATGGTTATGGACTTATGGTCATGTATGAATGTATAAAAGGGCAGTGCAGAAGGAGAGCAATAAGCTTGTCAAGAGACTGATTAGTGGCCTTGAAAGTTTTCAGGAATCAGGACTCAAGCTTTGTGTAGCTCTCTCTTATCTTGTATTACTTGAAGGAAGAAAGATTCCAGGACTACTAGTGCGTCAAACAAAATGATGATTTTGTGTAACTTTTTCTTTTAATTGTGCTTAGCTGCAAATAGCTTTGTATGACTTTAGTTTAACATGCTTTATGACCAAGACTAACAATTAAAGATTTTACTCATTCTTCTTTTCATGAGAGCTTTTCAATGTTCAAATTTGAAAGTCGAATTCATGGAAGCTTTTGCAGGAGGTACCACATCGATATTCCAACCCATTCTTACCTTCATAATAATAATAATAATAATAAAGTTATGTAGATTTCATGGTTTCTTTGGTAATTTGGTAAAAAACCTAGTTGTTGATAAATAAAACCCAGAAACTTAATAAAAATCTCTGAGTTGTACCCAACTCTAAATTTCCCTTTATTTAGTTGGTTTTCTCATTTCAGACATTTTGCAAAAATAGTTAAAATTTTGTCACAAGTAAATCTTGTTATTTTTTTGTTTATTGATTACTTCAACTCTTTAAATTTTCACTTGCTTTTAGTTGCTTAAACTTAATATCTTGAGTATATTCTTATTAAAGTATTGCCAAAAAAAAAAAAAAAGTTTTGAGAAATAATGTGGTAGCTTTGGGGTGAAAAGCACAAACTCAATCAAATATTAGGTACCGTATAAACATAAGCACCTTAATCCATTAGGAGCGTTATCCTATTTGTGCTTTCACAATCAAATTCTACTTATTCATTCCAATAAATTGAGAAGGGTATCTAATTAATCTGTTGTTAGAAAGCAAGTCCCTTAAATTTTTTCTTATGGGTACCTCTTCAGCTGTATCCTTGATCAGTTCTCTCCATTTCTTCTAAACCTTCAACTTCCACCCAAATTAATGGTTTCAGCTAGCATTTAGTGTTGAATGGGTTTACCAACTCATCTAGTCAATTTTCTTTAGTCTTGTATGTCATTAGGTTCAACCCTAGGTTAACATGGATGAGTTACCTTCTGATTTTATTGTTCTTAGTCTTGACTACTTTCCATCACAACATCATCTTCTTGGTAAGATGTATTCTATGGATTTGATGGATTCATGGATATGACATGAAACAGAATAAAATGGAGATTCATGTAGCCAATCCCATATAGTTGGAATAAGGCTTAAATGATAATGATGGTATGAATCAGAGCATTTATCACATCATCCTCTAGGAAACCCATCCCCTTCAATTGAATCATTCATTATGTCTCTCATGCTTAAATATAGAATTAAGTAGGTATCCAATTAAGATATTCCCTTACTATTCTTCGTTCTCAGTAGGAGCCATTGCTTGGTGAAATGGTAAAACCTTGGCTTACAAGAGTGAGAATTCAAGTTTAGGGATTAGACTGGTCACTTTGTACAAAAAATGATGAAGGTTTGGTCTTTCTAACCCTTCAAATACCTCGGGGGATAAGATTAGCTGAATGCAATAGTTGTTCAACAGGCTGTGGAACATGGGAGGAAACCTAGTTTTCTCCCATTCTTAGGTTCTTGAACTCTAGTTTTGAAAATTTTTGAACTGCAAAATTTGCCCTAATATTAATGCTTGTCATAACTTTCAGAATCAATGATAATGCCCCAAGCCAGTCATAAAATACATCTCATTCAGCTAATTTGAATAATACCCTAGATAACTAGGACCAACATTGGTGAATGGCCTTTCTTAAGCCTCTTATTATTATCAACATTACCTATTCTCCACTTTCACTTCTTAATTGTTATCCCCTTTTATCACGTTCATCATGTCTCAGACTTTTCCTCATCTTAAATGTTTCCATAGTAAAAGTGCAAAGCATCTCTCTATGATTCTTATTCTTTGCAACTGTCCTTTATATTTTTCACAAAACTGTGATAATAAGAACAATGTAGACCATGAAAAGTTTATATATGCCTAGTTTACTGTAACTAATGACCTAATACATCATCTTATACCAAACCTTTATCTCTTTGTTTTTTCTTTTCTTTTTTTTTTTTTTTTGAAAGCCCAAATTAAAGGCTGATTCCGTTTCAGTCAACAGCATTTACAAATTCTTTACAAAGTATAGGTTCAAGAAACCCCCAGAGAAAGACCACGCTGTCAGGTAAGAAAGAGAATACGTACGCATACTTAGCAACAGAATGGGCAGCCTTATTACAAGAACATGGTATCAAAGCATCAATGAAACTGAGCAATGGGAAAAATCACGCACAAGCATCCTTCAGTTACCAGTAAGGGATCTAATTCACCTAGGACTAGGAGGATCAACAACCTATCCTCCAGCTAGGGTTTGTAATTATATATGCTTCGTGCATCTCCTTTAAGCTAAATCAATTCCAAATCCTGCTCCAATGTTAGTCTCAAGTGTCCATTTGGAAGGGCTTTCATGCTGCAGCTTTTGCCTTTGTAAGATGGACCCACACGGAAAGCCTAAAAGCTATGTTTGATCTCAAGTACATTTTAATTAGTTAAGATGAAACTAGTTTTAGTTTTAATAGCTTGCTTAATCAACACAGCTCACTCAAAGCTGAAGCCCTCCTAAACGGGCTCTTAGCCCTCTCTAAACACTAGGGTTTCCATTTCTTCAGGTAGGCACCCCAACCAGTCCCACACCACTACACCACAGTACCCCATCTTATATCGATAGTTTGAAGCTTCATTCACATTTATCTTAAAACATTGTTTATAGATTTTTGTGTTCATTCGCAAGGTGCCAATCAACTGATTGGTAAGATCTCCTGCTGATCCTAGTGGAGATTTGGGGTCGAATCCCACCTGTACCTGAGTTGAGAGGGTTATAGGTTGGGAGATGGGCTACCCCCATTGTGTTTGTGTTCATTCATTCGGTGAGGTTTAACATTTCAATTCAGTTATTCAATCCAATCTATTCAATATTGGAAGCTGACCCTCTATTAATGTGTATTTTTGTTTGTAGAGTAGAATTTGCAGCTCAAAATTAAAGCCATGAAACAGGTAGTGGGCAAATTAAAATTGGAATTGACTCAATTTGCAAAGTTTTTGCACAATAATTTGTTTATGATCTTGATAAAGCTACTTAGAATCATTTTGCAAGAGGTTAATAATTACAACTGTGCATTGGATTCAGTCCTCACAAAACCATCCTCACATGTGCATTGGGTATATCTCCCCGTGAATAAAAACATGGGAAAATTCCTGATCAGTACCTTGTATTTTGGCTCGAGTGACAATTTGGTCCCCGAACTTTAAAATGCGATAATTTAGTACCTTAATTTTCAAAATGTGACAATCCAATACCCGGACTTTGAAAATGTGACAATTCAGTACCTGTCGTTAACCAGTCTATTAATCAGCTATTAAGTGACATTTGAAAAGTAAAAAATGCCCTAAGAATGACATATAATTCTCTTTATCAACCATCCAAACATTGACAATAAAATGAACAGTCCCAAATTCTAGATTCTTCTAAACAGTCACCAACTTTTTTGAATAGGAGAAGCTAGGATTTGGGACTGTTAAGTTTTTTGTCAATATTTGGATGGTTGATAAAGAGAATTAGATGGCATTCGAAGGACATTTTTGACTTTTAAATGTCACTTAATAGCTGATTAACAGACTGGTTAATGGCAAATACTGGATTGTCACATTTTGAAAATTCTAATACTGAATTATCGCATTTTAAAGTTCGAAAACCAAATTATCACTTGAGCCAATGTACAAAGGGAATTTTCCCTAAAAACATTTAAGTTGGGAGATGTTCCCAAACTCCTCACCATAGACTAAGCACATGAACTGTTTCATTATAGCCTTTTGATTTCTCCAAAAAGAGGTCTACCCCAAATAATCTAATTAATTCCAACAAAGAAAACATATTGTTACTTGATATCAGCTCTTGAAACAAATATTATTTACCAAATAAGTACCTTGTCAAGCATAAGGCGGAAACTAAAGGTATCTTGGTGAGCTCCATCAAATCAATAAGCTTTAATTTGCTTTCTCCTTTTCTTTTTTCCTTTTGTTTTTCTGTCATCAGGGATCTCAAATTCTGCCGAGGCATTACAGGAAGCTGCGGTCAGTAGGTTCAATAGTTATTCTTCAAGTCTTAGCGACTGTATAATCAAACCAAAAAGACACTAGTTAGGAATCCCAAGCCTATATGTGCCTATTCCAAAGCTTAAAATTGCAAAACCAACCACACCCCACTAGGCATTAGTTAGGAATCAACCCAAATTCCATCAATTTGCTAATCTTAGACTCTTCATTTCACACAAAGTTGACAAAACCAAATGACCAAACCCTTAAACAGAGTAGTTTGCTGTGCAGATGTTTCTTCAATGAATAGGAATTTTGAAGAAAAGAAATATTGGGCAATCTTCATAGAATACAAAAAATAAATACACTCAGTCAAATAATTCTTTCCCCTTCAAACGATTTCCCACTAACTAATTAAGGCAAGAAAGTTGACATTAAAATGAAGGAAACATTAAAACATTTAAGAAGAAAGAAATGACCATGCATGGAAAGTAGAGACGATCGTTTATAACCCGGCCTTCAAAGCTCTGGGCATGGGCAGTCATATTTCTGTCAGGCCTGGCCCAGCCCGGACCCGCATCAGGCCTGTATGCAATGTGGCATTGGCATATATCTTATATTTATATATAAGGTATGTATGTATTTATGCATATATGGTATCTACGATATTTTACCAAATATGTGGCATGTACATATACTCAACAAATTTTGAAATATAATTTTTCTGTAATTATGAATATAAAATTAAATTAAAACTTTAATTTTAATTCCTTAGGGGAAAGCATTGTAGCCACTGCACTCCTGACAGGAAAGACTTCCAAGGCAGCAGATGCTACTTTTCTGGAGATCATATCTGCTGTAACTATGGCGGAAGTGATCTATGCTTGCTTGAAGCAAATATTTCAGTGTTTGAGCCGTTAAAAACTCAGAACTCGCTCATAATAAAGGTGAGTCACGGGGAAGGAGATTAGGAGAGGAGTAGTTCTTAATTACGTACCTGGATTTTGAATTTCGGGTCTTTAGCGTCTTTCATGGGAAATTATGTTCAGCTTTCAATTAATTTCCCTGCTTGTAGTTGTTGGTCGTGTCATCTCCTTCCATTTTTTTCTGCTGAAGTGCTAAAAGCTATTGAAACAGGAGTTGTGGAAAGATGCAAT